AGATCGGGTATATAGTTGCACTTCAATAAATTTTTAAAATGCGCATTTAGTAAATTTTCCATCATTAAAAAAAAAAAACAATATATAATTATGCACGGTGAGGAGGAAAATAGAACCAATTAAAAGCAAACACGTCGTCCACGAACCACAACCCTAGTCCCATACCAGAAATAATATTGATTATAAAGCTAATTAAGGACCAAAATTTCTACAGAACCAGGGAAATCGTGCGATTCTCGAAAGAGTCGTGCGTGCGGAGCGGCAATGTAAGAGATAAGGGCTCTTTTGTGTTGGATTTGGGATGATCCGGCCCGGTATCCCTCTCTATAAAATTCCTATGCCTGCCTAAATCCTATCCTCTGCCTCGTCCCTTGCCAAACGCTTCCTTAATTCCGTCGATTCATTGAAAAGAGAAATCTTATACACCCATCATCAGCCATGACTATTGAAAAGAAACCTCATCGTTGCCTGTGTAGGAGACCGATGTACTTTCAGGTACCCATCGGAGTTACTTTCAGGCAACTGCATCTTCAGGTATCAATCGGAGTTAATTAATCTCTGGATTTCATGCTAGTAGTTTTCTTTGGTTAATTTCTTGACTTTTTTTTTTCCTTTTTTGTTTCTTTATATGATCAAATGAAAGAGAACCATGTTGTTCGCTTTTCGGCGCGTGAAGTTGGCAGCTATGAAGAAAGAGATGAAACTCCTTCAGAATTCCCACGAGGAAGAAAGAGTGGAACTGGAGGGGATGGAAGCGAGGTTCACAGAGCTGGAAGCGAGGTTCATACAGCTGAGGGCAGAGAGAATGCACGCGCTGACTCAATTTTGCTTGGATTATGTGGAGGCTTTGTTGGTTGCCGAAGACATAGCGGATCAGCTCCGCGACCCTCTCTCCGGTACCTTGTTTTCCCCTGAACTTTTCTACTATTTCTTTCCGAACTTGATCCGGTTTTCTATTCAAAATGTTTTTTTTTTTTTTGGTGTTTTGAAGGTCACTGATGACTCAATTTGAAGAAAGAAAGTGCTGGGAAAGGATGAACGAAATAATAGTCTATGGGTTTGTTCTCCAATAGGAGCGAGAGAGGAAGACTGGTAGGTGTTCATATATAATTACTGTTTTGTTTGCTATTGAAATATGGTGTTTCGATTTAGATCAAAAGACTGGTAGGTGTTTGTATATAATTACTGTCTTGTTTGCTATTGAAATATGGCGTTTTGATTTGAACTTTGATCTATATATATTTATATATGTATATATATACATATATATATCCATGGTCTGCTGCATTAATTTGTCACTTCTAACTTCTGACTGCTTGATAAGTTGATTTTGTCTAAAGAATGGGTAATTCGGCTTTTTGTTTTTAGTAC